AAAGTTACGTCTTGAGTAACTAAGTTATCGAGAAAAACAATGTACCCTAACAAAAGTATATTTTGTTGATTTATTTATGTAACCAAAATGGTATTATTTCATATACACGTTACTTAGCCGATGTCAGGATATTATTTGTTCTTTCAATTGGAGTTTGGCGCAACTGCAAAAACGAATACATGTACATCTTCTAGTTCTATTGCTAAAATGAGAGTCAGACATGGTGGATCGATCAAACAAGGACATGTACATGTGAAACGATCAAGGGTCAAAGTTAAAAATACCACTGCGCAATCGTGACAAAAAAAACCACGGGCAACGCACGACGGGCGACGGATGACGCACGATGGACGACGCACGACGGGCGACGCACGATGGGCGACGTACGACGGGCGACGCACGACGGGCGACGCACGACGGACGACGCACGACGGCAGATATGGAATTCCATACAGGCGCGCGAAGCAACAAGTGCTTTTGCTGTCTGAACTGAGGCAATCATTAATTGATATATGTGCCTTGATACACGACCAAGAAATCGACTTCTGGGGCGTTCCAAAAATGTGTCGCTCACACAGCACTTAACTGAGTAACGCATGCACAAAGCGTTCAAAATTCTCACACAGTTATGATAACACTGAATTATAAATAAAACCCTTAATATACCGTGCGGCAAATGTGCATTTTGGTGCAATAAAAACTGTCCTTATTTAGGCCTAAGGATGAACGTTTTGCAACCGCTAGCCGTCCACACTAATGACTTGGAGGCAAAAAGCTTGATCGGCCCATTGAAAATGTACAAGGGCACAAATGTCAACGGACATAAATTAGAACTTATTAGTCGAAAGGTCTATGCCGAGAGTGTACACTATCGAACATGCCAGGCTAACATTTATCCCTCACACAACACTTACGTACATGTATCTGTATTGGCAGCCCAAGTTCGCAGAAACTTGTCATTCTAGCTTGATTTTAAAAACCTTATAAAAGTATACACGGACAGTTTAAGTTTTTTGGGTTGTTTTAGTACATGTACTTAATAGGCACAGTGTTTATGCACATTAATTTGGTACATTGATAGTTGGTTGAGATGTTTCTTTGGTTTTGTACAACCCGTTGGCAAAAATACGACGTGTGTTATGACACTGTAAGAGCAAATCCTATGCCAGGGCGGTGAGAATTAGTGAGGTAGTGACGTGACAGTGACCAGTTTTGTTTCAAAGTTTTCTTACACTCGTTTGCTTGCAAAACTGCGTGTCGGGGTGCTTATCATGCGCATCCTATTTAGGCTCACTTGTAATCATGCGCAAATTTGGCAACTCATTTAAAATAAATGACCTGTGAAAGATCTACAGTTAATACATGTACTATCAAATAGTCACTTTTTTTCCTCCAAATTTTGTCGTTGCGGAGCAGGTGGACTTGAAAAAAATGACATGTACATATGCCCGCATACTCATTATTGCAATACAGCATCGGAAATTGACAGATTTACGTCTGCTGACAACTTCACTAAGGAAACATTTGTCAGTCTGTTGTAAACCAAACAGTGAAAGTAACATCTTTAGCTCGCTCGGCTTTTCCCCAGTCCGCCTTTAGGGCTATGTTGGTGGGCAGTGTGAACTTTGTTGGTAGCGATGAGACCGCAACGCATGCATATTTCATAGTTTTGAGCCAGCGACGTGCAGTTCCCACCAAAGGAGCCACCATTCCTTTGAAAACAGCTCCCTCGGCCTCCTTTGGTACTGCTCGGGGTAGACAGACTGAGCAATCCTAATGGGCTGAAGCTTTGTGTTTAGCAAGTTTATGTCTTGGTTCTAGTTTTCCTGTGTTTTAAACGTACGGAATGAAATACATTTTTGTGCAGCTTAGAATGTCTCCTCTTTGTTTCCGACTTCTCAATTGAAGGCGTGATTACTATTTCTTGCAGATATGGCTACCGGATATGATCGCGACAAATATGTGTATCACTCTAAACAACAGTTACCTGATGCCTCTGCCAAAAACGCTAGTTCAGATGGAAAGCATGGAGTGTGGAAAAGGAAGCCGCGGACAGCGCCTTCAATCAAATTCCCTGAGGATGACGATGTCTTCGACAACTCCGATACCGATGAGGATGCAAACTTCCCACACTCCAGATCCACCAAACCGCGGGGAGCTGGTAACGCAAGAGGGGATCGCCACCGCGGTCACAGCTTCCGAAACGCAGAGGACAGCTCTCTTTGGAGACAGAGATCTCCCGGACAGGGATTTGATTCGTCGAACTGGAGGATCCAAGGAGAAAGACAAGAGGAATCCAGGAAGTTTCGAAGCAGTTCCTACTCTAAAAGCGTTAGCAGCTACCGAGGAAGTACGTCGTTTGCCCCTCGTGTTTCAGATGGAGAGGAATTGAACGCAGGCAGTTGGAGAAATACCAAATCATTACAAGAAAAAGGGAATCGAGCTGACGCTCTGGAATCTGGAGGCATCTCCAGGGATTTCTTCAGGCGACCCGGTAGAGGAGTCGTCAAGGCGAATTTGGAGGAGGACTTTGATATTCCTCGGAGTGAGGAGACCTCAAGCGTTTCCCCGGACGGCCCACATGCAGCCAGCTGGAGAAAAACGCGGAGACATAGTCAACAACGTCAAGCAGATAATCTGGATGAAGGCGAAGTTTGCGAAAGCAGAACTAACATCACACGGGAGTTTTTCAGACGGCCAGCTAAATCTGTAGCGAGGACCGGACGAAAAGACACCAAGGATATGAAGACAGAAGACGAAGATCTAATTGACAGGTATATCAATCGACTGAATAAATTGTTCCATAAACTGCAATACCAAATAACAATGTTAAAGAAAAACAGCAAGTCGCCATTTTCCATTTGAAAACCCTGGGACCAAAAATTGAAAAGTGTTCTCAAAATTGAGTTTCTACACCCTTAGCACTGTGCCTCCAAAGACTGATAGCGTGTTTAAGGCGACCTCCAAAACAGGCAAACAAAATCGAGATCAACAAAACTAACGGTGACGTTGTAAGAATAATCGATACCTGACTAGACAAGTCGTACTGAAGAAATTAATAACGTACTCGGCACTATTTTACATCATGGGTGGAAATACTTTGTCCTCTCATGGCTTCCAGAAATTTGGTTTGTGAAACAGACAGAAGCTTCTCAGTTTTGCAAAATATTCTGAAAATTTCCAAATCGACGCAAGGGTGTAGATGAAAGGGAATGGAGGTTATACATGCCGCTCACTTCTTTACCCAGGTTGTACTGAGATCAGGTTGTACTGAGATATATCAATCCACCGATTTTGTTCACAAAGGAAGTTGTATATTGGGAACAATGATTCATATAGCCCCGTCTTTTAAAAAATGTCCATGGTTGGTTTCGGAAATTTCGATTTTGATCACTACACTTCCCTCCCAAAATTTCCACCTATGCATTCATGATTACATGATTTCGTGTGCATTGTTAGATAAGACCTGTAGTTACTTGTGTTTATTTACCGTCCTCTACATGTTATTTCGTGTTACAGCGATTCAAACTCAGCTTACTACTCTGATGATGGGCTCACAAGTCAGCAGCGACAAACGTTTGCTCCCTATTTGCGAAAGACTGAAATGAAACACGAGGTCCGTGCGTCTTCCTTCTCAAACTATGAACTCGAAAGCTTCCTTGATGAGAAGTCCCAAGACGCACTTCTGAAACTTGTGAGCCAACGGGAGAGATGCCAGGCCTTGTTTTCTGCGGATGAACTCGATGAAAACACTCTGTTGCTAACAGTGCGAGTTTTGTCGTGTATGAGTCATTTAGATCAAGTCTCTGACACGTTATACACTCGAGAAGTAAATGTGATTCTAAGTATGCTTGAATTGTCCTCATTTTTCAGTAAGCACCTTACTAGGTATCTGGTTGGTTTATCCTCAAGACAGGCAGATGATTGCGATGATGCAGACACTGACGGTGTGCGAAGCCTTGCTGCCGATATTGATCTCATCTTGGATATTCTTCAACTATTCCTCCAACGCAAACCCTTGGCTTGCTCAGAAGTGAGCGTGGTTCTCGTTCTCTTACAGAAGGTAGTGACCACAGCAGCGGTGAACAACGTTGACTTTGACCCACAGGGTTATCGTATGGCGAAGGTGGAGGAGG